TCCACTACTAAATATATACCTAACAGAAATAAAAACTTATGTTTGCACAAAAGCTTGTACGTGAATGTTCACAGAAGCATGTTTATACAAACAAAAGTTGGAAAAAACTCAGATGTCAATCTGATAAATGAATAAACAAAATGTGGAATATCCATACAATAGAATAGCATTCAGCTATAAAAAGGAATGAAATATTGATCCATGTTACAACATGGATGAACCATGAAAGCATTATGTAAAGTAAAAGCAGCCACTCACGAAAGATCACGTATTGTATGGTCCCATTTATATGAAATGCCCAGAAGAGCAAATCTGTAGAGGCAGAAAGTGGATTGGTGATTGCCTAGGACTGAGAGGGTTGAGGAGAATGAAAAAGCATTGTAAATGTGTAATGGGTTTTTTTGTGGGGGGACAGAAATCTAAAATTGGATGTTGTGATGGTTACACAAGTCTTTTAGTGGTTACACTAAGAACCACTGAATTGTATACATTAAAGTGTTGAAATTATGGTATGTAAATTACATCCCAATAAAGCTGTTAAAAAAAAAAATTTGTGGTTTTTTCCCTATCTTCATTTATAACCTTGGTAGTATCACATGACTAAGATTATAAAAGGTTATTTTGTAATAGTTGGGACAAGAAGCAGAATTATAATGCTTGTATGGATTTGCATACACAAACGCATCTGGGTATTCCAGTTTGTTCAACAGACTAGTCAGTACATTGGCTAAAAGAATAATATATTTCATGCAAAATAATATCTTTGAGCAAAAAGGATCTTTGAAGTTATCTACATTAGACTTGTTGTCCAGGTTGAGAAAACAGATGCAGAGAAGTGGCATGACCTGCCTAATTTTGGAGAGTAGTTTTAAGCTTGAAGGCTAAGAATATGCTGCAGACTTTTGTGACTTCAGAGGAGTCTTTGTATTTGCGAAAAATAGAGATGGGGACCAAAAAACACAAAGTATGAAATCTGTGAACTTAGAAGTGATATTCAGTGAATTACGACAATATGTTGTACCCTGTGCTAGGTGTAATAAAAAGTAGGCACTTGATAAAACTGTGCTGATTTCTTTAAACATTGAAGGTTTGTGTGTATGAGAAAGACATGATGAATTCAATGATTCAGGTGATTTTTTTTCCTTAGCAATTTGGTTCTATTGTTAGTATGTGTTTAATAATCATACGCAAATTACTTATGCTCATTCTGCCTCAGTTTCTGTGTTGCCTACAGCCCCATTCTCCCCACCCCATCCCCTCTTATCTCCCTCCCTCCCGCTCTACCCCAGATATGAGATGAATATGCTTTGGGGACAACCCTGCCTTCTGGTTTAAATTGTTCTCTTCTGTTAGTGTAGCTCAAGTGTGAGTACTTCAGTGAGTAGAAGTTACAGTAATTATTTTTATGAAAGATAAAGCTCTTATTTCTTTTTCTGTATTTGGTTATATATATAGTTCCTTGAAGTATAGTCCTGAGTGAAGCCTGAAAAGGATAGTTTTAATGATTTGATTGATGGTTTTTCTATCTGGGTCATTCATTTTTCAACCTCATATATCAAGTTTTCTGCTGTTTCAGTCATTGAAAGCTGCTATATCATTATTGCTGAAATCTTTTGGCAACCCAAAGGAAGAAGATTTGAAGGAGAGTCAGGAGGTCCAGGTATTTTGCTCTGCCTCTGCCTCTGTGTTAGTCTGCTAGGGTTGCCATGACAAAGTGCCACAGACTGTGTGGCTTAAACAACAGAAATTAATTTTCTCAGTTTTGGAAGTAAGAAATCTGAGATTAAGGTGTGAGCAGGGGGTTGGTTTCTTCTGAGACCTCTCTTCTTGGCTTGTAGATGGCTTTCGTCTTCCATGTTTTCACATGGCCTTCCTTCTGTGCATGCCTGTGTCCTAATATCCTTCTCTTATTGGGATGCCAGTCACAAGGGTTAGGGCTTTATCTCCAAGTGCAGTCACATTCTGAGGTACTGGAAGTTAGGACTTCAATGTATGAATTTTTGGGGGGACACAGTTCAGCTCATAACAGCCACTAAGAGGCTCTGTTTTGACTTTGGGCAAGTTACAGTGGTTTGCAGAAGTGAAGCTGAAGTGTGTAAGGCATTTATGAAGACTGGTTACTGTATTGTTAGGAGCTTTTCTTGTTTTATTTTAGGGCTGGATTTTGATTTAGAATATAATATTTTTTTCATTTTCTTCATGCTGGACATTTCTAATTTTTTTTTTTTGGCTGTGTTGGGTCTTTGTTGCTGTGCGCGGGCTTTCTCTAGTTGCGGCGAGCGGGCGCTACTCTTCGTTGTGGCGCGCAGGCTTCTCTTGTTGCGGAGCACGGGCTCTAGGCGCGCTGGCTTCAGTAGTTGCAGCACTCAGGCTTAGTAGTTGTGGCTTGCGGGCTCTAGGGCACAAGCTCAGTAGTTGTGGCGCATGGGCTTAGTTGCTCCACAGCATGTGGACTGCGCCACCAGGGAAGTAAGTCCCCATGCCAGACCTTTATTTCTAGAACACAAGTGGTACTTGACCATTCAAGGAAAAGTTAAAGGCCTTTTTTACAGAACAGGTTTTGCTCAACAAATCTGTAAATAGAAAGGTCTTAAATGAAGGAGTAATATTTTTTCTAGCTTTAACATGTGAATTATTCAAGTGTTAGTAATAACACATTGGTTGTTTTGTATTTGACTTCAGTCATTTTCCTCATATTTGTACAGTAGATCCTTGGTTTGGCTCTTGGTTAGTGCTTTACATCCAGGTACCCGTCACCCAGCTTTAATACCATCAGCTTTCTGATAATGTTTCATCTACTCTCCATATAAAAGTTTTTCCAGCAGTTTAAACCCCCCATTCTTTAACTGAGGTAAAAGTCATATAACATGAAATTCACTGTCTTAACCATTTTAAAGTGTGTAATTCAGCACCACTTAGTATATTCACAGTGTCGTGCAGCCACCACCTCTGCCTGGTTCCACACATTTTCATCGTCCCCAAAGGAAACCCCATTCCCATTAAGCAGTCATTGCCCATTCTGCCCTTCCCCTGCCCCTGGCAACCACTAATATGCTTTCTGTCACTATGTATTAGCCTGTTCTGGATTTGGGTATAAATGAAATCATACAATATGTGACCTTTTACGTCTGGCTTCTTTCACTTGGGTAGTGTTTTTGAGATTCATCCATGTTGTAGCATGTGTCAGCACTTCATTCCCTTGTTTTTTTGGCTGAATAATTTTTAAGCCTCTTTTGATACGTGTAAAAATCTTTATTCTCATTTGATATCAATAATATTAGAAACTAGAATATTAGGATAATTTTATTCTAATAAAATTAGAAATTTGATGATTATAAAGTGAAAAAAATAGTAATTTTAAAATATACTTTTCAAAGCTGCATCCTTTTAGAATTACTGGAGTAGACATCTGAATTAAAGCCGTTAATTGAAATCTGCATGCTGAAACTTGGTTGGATTTATGGGATAGCTGAATAAACAGATTCCTTCACCAACCTTATTGCATTCTAATTTAATATACACACAGCCTGAGAATGTGTCTCATCTCATTACAGATGAACATTTGTCAGGGGTCTTCTGGGATTGCTCCAGAGTAGTGGGAGTAATATGTATTAGATGCACGTTTAATTGCAGTGTTTACTTTTGGTGTCTTGGGAGTCAGGACTTATCTCCCCACCCCCACCCCCACCCCACCCCCACTCCTACCCCTACCCCTACCCCTACCCCTCCTCCTGCCCCATTTCCTTTCTGTTATCATTATTAAATGGTTTCAGGAGATACTAAAGGGACAAGGGTGAATTAGCTAGTACTAAGAATATTTTCATCCAGAGGAAATCACAGGTTTATTTTCAGGTCCTTTATTTAGTGCCTTTTTTTGTTTGTTTGTTTTTTGTTTTTGCGGTACGCGGACCTCTCACTGTTGGGGCCTCTCCCGTTGTGGAGCACAGGCTCCAGACACACAGGCTCAGCAGCCATGGCTCACGGGCCTAGCCGCTCCGCGGCACGTGGGATCTTCCCGGACCGGGGCACGAACCCGTGTTCCCTGCATCGGCAGGCTGACTCTCAACCACTGCGCCACCAGGGAAGCCCTATTTAGTGTCTTGAATGAAGAAAGGCAAATGTAAGAATATAGAAAAATAATAGAGAGTCTAATCATTCCTCATTTTCAAACAAAATTACCAAAATGGTTATAACACCCTTTATGTGTTTTTTCATGGTCTGATTTTTTTTTTCATGGTCTGATTTTTAAAATATGCTTGAAAATGTGGTTTTAAATCATGCATATTTGTATTATTGGAATGTAAGTTTAATTGGAGAACACTAAAGTTGAAAAACTGTAAGCTCTTAACATTTTTTTCTTCAGATGTTAGCTTAATATTGCCTTATAAATATGTAAATCCACATACTGAGAAATAAGTTTCTGTGGTAGTTACTTTGAGCCTGAAATTAGATATACATACTTTTAGCATTCATATGAAGTAAGATAGTTTATTCCACTTTTTACACTAGTCCTAGGAAATTTAAAAGGACAAAATGTCAGGTTTTAAAATTTTTTAGTGACTCTTATATAACATGGGGGTCTTACGATAAACTTAAAATGATGTGTTTTACTATCAAACATCTAATGAAAACTTCATTTTAAAAATGTGAACAGTTCTCAGTGATTTTACCTTCCTTACCCTCCACAATTTACCCACCCCACACGTGCACAACACAATTGCCCCAAGCTGTTATAAACAGTGATTTTTCCTTCGATCAGGCTAAATTTTACAGCAAATACTTATTCGCATTTATTCTGTGAATTGACCTTTTTCAAATGTGTAACTGGTCTCTGCCATTAAATTTAATAGTTCATTTTGGAAATAGGTTGACTAAAAGCTAAAAATGGTGCATATTAGGAAAAGGAAGAGAAGTGTAAAAAAATGTTCATTTAAAAATATTTTCAGGCAGTGTTATAGTGCTGATATGTTTGTAGTGACAGTACTTTTTCCTTACCCTAGTGTCCTAGAAGGAAAACATCACCATGGCTACAGAAATTGGTTCTCCTCCTCGTTTTTTCCATATGCCAAGGTTCCAACACCAGGCACCTCGACAACTATTTTATAAGCGACCTGATTTTGCACAGCAGCAAGCAATGCAACAGCTTACCTTTGATGGCAAACGAATGAGAAAAGCAGTAAACCGAAAAACCATAGACTATAATCCATCTGTAATTAAGTATTTGGAGGTAAGTACAGTTAATGTACTTCAGATGACCAAACTTTGGTTTCTTAAAAAGAAGAAAGTTTTTATAATGCCGGGTAATAAGTATACCTGTGTTTTTTGAATTAGTAGGATGAAGTAGAATTTCAAATGAGGCCAATCACCTCAATAAAAAAAGAGTACTTTTTTTTTTTTACTCTTTGCATGCATGAATAATCTCAAATTATTAGACTCCAACTTAAAAATAGGTTTTGTTCTAAAGGTTCACACTGTATTTCAGAAGAGGGTACTTTTGTCCAACTAGGCCAACTTTAAAACACTTGTTAAACCCACAGTGTATATGAAATGTTAAGAGACTACCAACATAAGAATATTTGTATTAGAACATGTGTTCAGAATAGTGACTTGCATGTCCAAGACACTGGCATCAGAACACGACTCTCCAAACCCCTCAGGGAAAAGGGCTCTGTTTACTTGGAGGGTTGAGCACCTACTACAGTCTTACAGGGTGAAACCAACTCTGACATGGCAAATAAAGGCAGAGTAGGGGTCTGCCTAAACCTGTGTCAGCTTGGCATATCTCCCCTTTGACTTCTTTATTTACTTGTCTTAACCTTTCTTGTCTTAAGCCTCTGTGATTTGCTTTTTTCATTGCTAACTCCACATTAATCAGGTTTTGGTCTGCTCTGCCTCCTGTGAAGAAAATTTGTCTGCTTTTCATTACCTGAGACAAGTTGTTAAAAGACCTATATGCATATTGGGCATAATTAGTATGTTGCAGGCACATAGCAAAAATATTCATTCAGAGGTAAAGACAGATTTAGGCTTTTTCAGGTGTTTCAGTTGGAAAACTAGCCTAGGAAAGTTTGGGAGGAATTAAGAAAACCAACACCAAGATAAGAGGAATTGTTTTGTGCTGAGGATTTTGAAGGAATTGGGAATGTCTGTCTACCCCTTAACCTTTTTCCTTTTACTAAGGTATGGTCAGTGAGAATGTGTTGGGGTCAGCAGCATCTTGGATGATTGGTTGGGCATAATATGAGTAAAGAAGGGAGGGAAATTCTAAGCAATGTCAGTGTGATAAGAGGGGAAATCTCTTAAGATACCCACTATTATCTGTTTTAGAACATAATGAAAAAGTTTTAGTCTTCTTTTTTCCCCATTTAACGACAGCTTGCATTTTGTAAATATTTACTTACGTTTCAGATTGAGTATAATTAGACAATATATTGATTGATTAATTAATTTATTTTTAACAGAATAGAATATGGCAAAGAGACCAGAGAGATATGCGGGCAATTCAGCCTGATGCAGGTTATTATAATGATGTAAGTATAAGATATGTCATGCTAGCTTAACAGAAACCTCTTTGCTTGGACATTTGAACTATGGGATCTCTAATTCAAACATGGACTTTTCTTTTTACATTTTTATAATTAAAACAAAACATTCCTAAAGGGATAATATAACATATCTGTGTAAGCCATGGGTTTTTTTTTTTTAAATCTCAATTTAAATTTTCCTTTTAATCTGATAACAGATGAACTTTTGATTTGGGGTTTAAAGCAGTGTCTAGCAAAAGATTGCACTGTCTCAGAGTCTCTGTAACAAGAAAGTTAATTTTAAACTTGGCTTGTTATGAATGTGTTCAGTTGTGTTGACTTTGAGAAGTAATTGGGGGAAATCTGGCACTTGATTTTATTGTTTATTTAGTAATTATGGGCATTTAACTTTCCTGTATCTCCATTTTCTTCATTTAATTACTATAGACTAATTGTAATCTATTATAATAGTGTTTTGAAAGTCCTATATGGTCCTGAATTTGTCTTTAAATGTTGAAGTAATTACCTTGTCATGTCCCTGGTTTATGCCCTGTTTGTGATCTTTAAACACCATTTTTTTTTTTTTGTAGCTGGTTCCACCTATTGGGATGTTGAATAATCCTATGAATGCAGTAACAACAAAGTTTGTTCGAACATCAACAAATAAAGTAAAGTGTCCAGTATTTGTTGTTAGGGTAAGTATTCTGTTTGATATTTTTTGGATAAATTAACTCTGAGTTAGCCTGCAAATATATTTGCAAAGAAAATTAAACATTATTTTGTATATCTGGGATAAAAATCAGTGTATTGCTTGTATTTTTATTTTGAAATATCCAATCATTTATCCACTATATCCACATTTAGTAAGGTAGTACTTTTGGATTGCTTTTCTTCATGTTGCAGTTTCCATAGAATTCTCTCTGAGCTGGCCATGGATATATATATATTGCAGCAGGTGTCTGACTTGCTCTTGAATAGGATTGTTTTGTTACTGTTTAGAGAGCAGCATCTCAAGGTGAATGAAAACTCTTAGGGTTACTAGGAAGGAAAACACCTAAGAAGAGCTGAAGACCAATGGTAGACCATAATTGTCAGCTCCATGAAGGTACATTGTAGGTACTCTACATTTTCACTAAAATTTTTAAAATATAATTTAAAAATAAATAATATATTAACATGGTTCAAATTATTAAAATTTGAAGGGGTTTGCAATAAAAAAAGTCTTCCCATCTCTGTCTCCCAGGCATCCTGTTAATATTTCCATAGATAATGGTATAATCTTTTTTTTGTGGTTTGCTAGTAAGAATGCACTTGCTGGTTAGCAGTATATCAAGTCCAGAAATGTAGGAAAGTTAATAGTCAAAGTGGAGCAAATAAGAATTGAAAAAAATAATGGGACAGAGAAAAAACAGTCATGGCAAACATTGTGGCAAATGAGCAAAATAAGCAGGTCTTCTTATTAGGGAGTTGTTGTGAGAGACAGTTGTTGTGAGAGGGGCTGGAAGAGACTCTGGCTTGAGTTCCATACAAATGTGGTAGTCAGTCTTAGGCCTCCTGTTTGCTTCAGAGGCCTATTAGAGTAGAAACCATTAGTAAAGAAACATTATTTGAATGGCTTTTGTATTAGGAGAGCCAACCAGTATGTAGTGTAATTTTGCTTGCCAGGGAATTTGGGAAAAGGAGTATGATGGCAGCTAATTTTAATGTCTTGTTAGCATAACACAAAACCTTTTTGGAATGAATAAAATTTAAGCATTCTGTGTCCTGTATCTTATTAGATGGGTAAATTTCTCATTTGGGAATCAAGCTATAAGGACTTAAGAAATTTGCACATAGTAGAGGCAAGTCCAAATTATAAGGTTTTAAAGACATAAAGACTGTGAGTCCTGTGTCACCAGTTTGATTGCTTGTAGTATCTACTGGGTTGGGATCCATAGCAGATAACAGAAACTAGGAAAGTAGGAGGATTTTATTAATAAAAGTCAAAATCATGATCTGCAGGTAAACAGTAAAAGGCTGGCTTGTCATATATATCTGTGAAATTTACCAAACAGACTTCATTTCATGTATCTCATCCTATAAACACACTTGTAGTTTTCAACTCTGTGTCACACTTTTTACTAATAGGATTCTTGTATTGATATTTCATGTATTTACATCCAAGGAAAATGAACGTGTAATCTATCATAGAAACTTGAAAATAAAAGTAAGAAAAAATATGTTGCATTTTGAGTTGATAAGCATATATCACAGATTCCCTTCAGTGTGCAAATTGTGACATTGAAATAGTGGGGTACCGTTAGTCATGCCTCTGTTGTATTACATTTTTTTGGAGACTAGATTAGCATAAGACCTGTCACTGCCTAATACTGTGAATGAAGAACTTAAAAATATATATATACATGTATATAGTATATATTGTACATTTAGTTTCTAGGAAAAGTTTGATAGCCTTGATGTCCTTAAATTGGTATGTAATACTGTTTTTTCACAAGACACTGGTAACATTTTTGCCTGAATTGGTTCACTAGCAGCTGTAATAAACCAAATCCTTTATACATTTAGTCTTTGAATTTTTCTGATGACTGACCATCTTATTTATGTTGGTCTGCCATGTATTCTAGAAAAATTAAGTCTTTGCATATTTTGTTTTGAAATGCTCTTTAGAGTGCCTAGGTGTGTGTAACTGAACAGGTATTTAAAATGCACTTATTGGGGCTTCCCTGGTGGCGCAGTGGTTGAGAGTCCGCTTGCCGATGCAGCGGACACGGGTTCGTGCCCCGGTCCGGGAAGATCCCACATGCCGCGGAGCGGCTGGGCCCGTGAGCCACGGCCGCTGAGCCTGCGCGTCCGGAGCCTGTGCTCTGCAACAGGAGAGGCCACAACAGTGAGAGGCCCACGTACCGCAAAAAAAAAAAAAAAAAGCACATATTATTTTTAATTAATGAGCTAAAGTGCTAGAGCTTTCCTTGCACTGTGATAATACAAGTTCTTTTCTGACAAAGTACTTGCTTATAAATCTGAGCTATAGTCGTAAGTGAAAGTCAGTACTGTCCACTTAATGTCAATTATTGGATATTTTATAAATAAAGACTTTCTAAGTGTTTTAAAAATTAAGGTTGAGGATTCGTGACCTTGTATAATGTCTTTTTTTTCCCCCAGTGGACTCCAGAAGGAAGACGGTTAGTCACTGGAGCCTCTAGTGGAGAGTTCACCTTGTGGAATGGACTCACTTTCAATTTTGAAACAATATTACAGGTAACAGTAATCATCAGATGGTAGCATCATCCTTTGTTACTGTAAAGAACTTGCTATATAGTTACTTTCTTGGCATTTTAAACTTACAATTGGACAGCTTATTGTTATGAGTTAATATATGCTCCTGTAAAGGCTTCCATCATATATTCTTTTATATAATGTTTACAAATGTTTTATGTTTTCACAGGCTCACGATAGCCCAGTGAGAGCCATGACTTGGTCACATAATGACATGTGGATGTTGACAGCGGACCACGGAGGATATGTGAAATATTGGCAGTCGAACATGAACAACGTCAAGATGTTCCAGGCACATAAGGAGGCGATTAGAGAGGCCAGGTTTATACACAATATACCATTTTCTGTAGTCCCTATTGTCATGGTTAAATTATTCTCTAAGTGTATTCTGGGTGCAGAGATGCATGGGCTCTGTCAGATTCTGGGAAACTTTCTGCACCCTATAAACACAATATTTTTCTTTGTTTTCACACATTCACCATTTTGCTGGCACTTTTCTGAAGTAGTGTTGTCCCGGTATCAGCCTTTGCAATATGTTAGAGATGTATTGTCTGCCGCATTTTGCACTGGTTTTCTCTTTTCGTTTATGGTTAATAATGTGTATACGTTATTCATTTTTATTACCTACTATGTAAGACAAGAATATTTCATTCCAAATAAAGAATTCAGTCTTTAATTATACAACTGAATAAAATCTAAAGCCTACAGAAAACACCTTCAGAGTTCACACAAAATACAAGATAAAAAAGGCTTAAGTGAAGACCCTGGTTGGCTTGGTTATGCCACGACTTCAAAAGGAAAGTATAGGACTAAAAACTCTCACAAGTAACTCTGGATGTGGCAAACATTAATGGATTAATGAGTGGGTTCTTTCAAGCTTTGAAACTGTAAGCAGACCAATGTCAAGAAGACTTTCCTTCTGATTCACTGTTGATAACATCAGTAATGCAAATGTATCATAAGTGGGAGTTTAAAATATTTTCAGTGAGTTGTATATTTTTACATATCAGTGAGATATGTATAGTAGAAATGGAAAAAAAAGTTTCAAAAACAAGCCTGAAGAATTGCTGCAGCCTCAAGAATAAAGAAAGCTAAGCAGCATTCTTGACCGTTGTGCCACCCACGTGTGGGAGGAGGTTGACATCTTTATAGAAACATCATCCACTGCAGTCACTTGTTTCTACTTTCAGAATCTTAACAAAAGTTATTGGATAAACACGCTTCTGCAAAGACTTTGCCTTATTGTCCTGACCATACATTGAGTTTTCGCAGTTGGTCCTTTCTTAGGCAAAGGGTTCAGAAGTTCAGGGGAGTTCTTAGATGAGAAACTTGATGGTCTTTTACAGGGAGGAAAAAATGGATTCCTCCTTTGCAAGCATATTCTTTGGCTTTAAACAGTCAGAAGGTCCCCATGTTAGTTTTCTTCAAAAAGTGCAACATTCATGGGATAGCTTGCCTGGAAGAAGGTGTGAACGTTTTCCACAGGCCTATTACATAAATCAGAAACATCATATGTAGGGATGTGTAGCAACCAGTCTTTAAACAGCCTGTCTGAAACTTTTATGAAGTTTGAAGCAGAAGCTGATGCTAATTTTTTGAGCAGTATTCCTATGTGATTTAAAAGACTTTACAGGAATATTGCAAAGATAGAATTTGTTTAGTTTCTCCACTTAAATCCGCTCCATGTTTTCTGTTGGTACCATAGGAAATACTATACTGGAGAGTGTGGGTAACATTAGTACTAATAATACACTCATAAAGTTCTCTGAATATTGCTGATTGAAAACTAAGAAGCAGCTACTCTGTTGAATTCTTCTTTTGATGAGATACATTTGTTAGCTGACAACATTCTCTTTAAGGGCTTCTTCACTGTGGATACTTCCCTCTCCTGTTTATAACGCAGCACAGTGTTTTTATTTTTCCCTGTCTGAGAAGCGCAGATAATCTGTTAAATGCTGACTTCTTTCCCCTGCTGTGTGTCTTCATGTAACAGTTTCTCACCCACGGATAATAAATTTGCTACATGCTCTGATGACGGCACTGTTAGAATCTGGGACTTTCTTCGTTGCCATGAGGAAAGAATTCTCCGAGGTACGTGTACTAACAGTACTGATTGGAATATTTAAATAGGGAAGGCATTTGTGGTTTAAATCATCACAATACCACAATACCAGCTTACATCTTCATTCAGTTGTTTTACATACACACCCTCTCAGTCAGGCTCTTTAAAGAAAACTGAACTCTCTGGTTCACAGTCATTTTTGTAGATTTTTACTACTAATATTATCTTTGAGTTCTTTGAGCTGTAAATTAAATACATATGTTCCCCTTCTTCTCCCCTCTCCTCCTAATTACTTACTTATCTGTATGCATCCGTTAGGGCTATATTCCTTTTCCTGCCTTGTACCCAGGATAGCTTTCACCAACATACTAACACGATAATTTTATTTATATAACTCACATTCTCCTGGCAGGCCTTTTACAATATGCATTAACCAAGGTCTCACTAGCTACACTTCTCAGTATTGGTATTTCTGAAAAGAGGTGGTTTTTCAGTATACCACATTTGTGCTGCATGGCCCACTTGTTACTAAGCTTTGGAGGGATTTTTATTTACTTTTATTGATTTCATAATTATAAACTAACATCTATAAATTACTCTATCCTAGAAAAGAAATCCGTATTTTCACTTGGATTAACTTAGTTTTAGACTTCCTAAGGTGGGGCTGTTGAAATACTCACAGTACATCAACACCATTTATGTGAATTCAGTGCTGTTGAAGTAAGTTAAGGAAATTAACTGCGTGTTTTATATATTCAATACAAACATTGAAACAAAAAACATTTACGCTTTTAACTAAATCTCATTAGTTTATTATTAATTGGGAAGGTAGTTTTCTCAAGTGCTTAATTTGAACCTATGCTGATTTAACAAGGCATACATTCTGTTGCATCCTCTTCATTCCAATATGCCATAAAAGTAACATCTTCCTCTGACACATGAATGCAGGGTGGGAGAATGGGTGCCACAGACATTGGGTATGTCAAGCAATTACTATTCAGAGATTGCCCTTTTTGTTCAAGAGTCGGCAGAGTTAGTTATCTTGGTTGACTTACAAGTTTTTTATACCTTTTTCAGAGCTTTATTTACAGCATATAGTGTCGATGCTTTCTAGACAAGAAGCTAAGTATTCTTGATATTTAACCCATATTTCAAGCCAGTATTATTTTTTTAATCACAATTTTTAAACATTCCTGGCGTTGCACATTTTGTGTGGGTTTTACCCACAGTAACTTATTGTGATAGCTAGCATAAGAATATAGCACCTTCACCTGTCATAGAGAAGGGGTGTCCTGACAATGAGGTCATAATATTGTACAGCTTCAGAACTAGGTGGAGCCTTTGAAATCATCTAATCTGAGTTATTGTATGGATGAGCATCATGACCCAGAAGGCTTAAGTGACATGTTCAAGGTAAAAGAAGTTCAGAGCCAGGACTAGCATCCTGTCACTTGACAACTAGCCTAATGCTACACTAATGTTGCATCTTTCCTCACTATTAGTAGAAGTCTTAGCTGCTAAACATTGATAAGGGAAACAACTTTTTCTAGCCTTTGAAAATCCTAAGAAATATAGAGGAAACCAAATAATTTTATTTATTGAAAGTAATTCTAAAGGATCAAAACCATTAATTTTACAGTGACCTAGGACTATAATAACTGTAAAGTCTGATACAAAACCACTCTGCATCTTGGATTAAATAAAGAAGAAGAAGAAAAGCTACTATAAGATAGCATTTTCGATCCTAAATTCCAATGAAGTGTTATTCAGTTTTGGTAATGAAACTGTTTCTAAATAGTGCTTAGGAACTTTTCTTCTGAAATGTAGTGTACATGAGTTATTAGTCAGCAGTTAAATATTTTCAGATTTGAGTCCAGGTGGATTTGGATAATGTGGGTGCTGGGTCATTACCTGTTCTTCTCATAGCTTAAAAAACACACCAATATCATGTCTATACTGAGAGTTGAATTTTATTTTTTATGTGGGTGTTCTTTTTAAGTTTTCACTATGAAAATTTCAAACATGCACAAGAGTATAATGAACTTGCATGTACTTTTAGGATTTGTATTCTAGCTTATTCATGTTTTTTACTTCCTTTAAACAGTATTCTACTTGCTTTATGGCCATGATTTTTTTCTTTGTACCTCAATGAGTATATGAGAAGTATAAATATATAAGCCAAGTTAATTATACCACCCAAGTAGTAGTTCTGATAGTGGATCTGGTGTAGTTAGTAGACAGGTTTTTCCAATTTTCCATTTTCTATCATTCCTCATTTTTCTAAATTTTCTGAACTTTAGAGATGATTATAAAATAGTGAAACCAATGTTGTTATAATTTTTCTGTTCTTCACTTGGTGGCTTGGGGATCAGGGGATGATGGAACTCCACTTGTCTCAAGGGTTGATGTGAAATTCTTCAAATAAAATTTGAAGTGAACTTAATTTAGGTCTGTTCGTAGAGAGAAAGGTGGGTCACAGAGTTAAGCAAATAGGGTGGCCTCTAAAATGTCAGCTGCCCTATAGAAAGGGGGTGATGTTCATGTAGCCCACATAGGCTGTGTGATGCCAGGCAGGTAGGCATATTCCTAAGGCATATTAGTGTTGTGCATCAGACCATCACTTGGGATTAAGTTAAGAAAATCCAAGAACATTTTGATTGAAGAGGATGTTTGTGATCACGTAGTCCAACTCTTTATCTAATACTTTTCTACATCATTCCCCAAAACCAGTTTTCTACTCACAAAACATTTTTAGTGATACGGTATTCACTACCGCACATGAATCTCTTTTTCAGTTTTAGGTAGCTCTGATTTTCAGAAAGTTCTTTCTTTATATCAGAAACCTACTTTCTTATAACTTGTCCTGCCTTCTGGAACACAAAAAATCAAGTCTGTACTCTTCTACATAGCAGCCCTTTAAGTATTTAAGCTCTCATGTCTTCTTAATGCAGTCTTTCAGCTATAAGCTTACAGGATCCCTGTGAGTGCAGAATTTACAGTTGCTTTTTAGTGTCATTACTGAGATTGTTCTTATGCTTCTTGGAAAAAGAAGTTGCACAAGAGAAAATCAGTATTTTTAACAAAAAATAAGCATCGATCTATTGCCAGATTTGCTACTTTGAAGTTGTAATGTTTGGTCCATAGATGGGAAGAGGAAACACTTGTGAAATTGAATATACTGCAACATTGAGAAGTACCATGTATATGTCCACCCGTTTCCAAAGCATATGCATATCAGCATAATTTATACACATTTATCCTTTTCTAGTATGAATTGCAGCACTCAAATTATGGACTGCGATTAAAATAACATTTAAGCACCAGGAGTACATGAGTCTAAATGAGCCTCTAGGTGTTTATGCACTTGACTCTAAGAGAAATAGAGGCATTAAAATCCATTTATTTAATTAGCATATATTATATGCATGCTATCATAGGTAGAAATTTAAAAGAAAATAAGGTATGATGACCTCCTACCCTCTTGCTTCTTAAAGTTTAGTAGGAAAGGTAAGATTGTCACAAACAATATTGTTGGATATTAGGGGAGAAGAGTCATGAGAGTATTAGAAGTGTAGTTTTATCAGTGTAAAGTTAGAAGCAGATCACTTGTGACTGAAATGAAAATGTGAAAGATTGAAAATGTAGAATCAGTAAGAATACGGAGTAAATTTTAATGAGAAGCATAATTATATATTATATGATATATAACATGTATATTATATATAACTTAAAAAGAATCCAGTTTACCAGCTTTAGCATGCTTTAATTTTGTTTTACCTTCTTGATTTTAACAACAGTAGCTGACACATTACACTTACTATGTATCAGGTATATTTTAAGTACTTCATTTAATCTTACCAGTAACCAGTACTTCATTTAATCTTACCAGTAACCCTATGAGATAAATACTGTTTATTCCACATTTTACAAGTCAGTAACCAAGGTACAAGAAAGTTAAGTAAACCTCCCCAAGGTAATATAACTTGTAAGAGGTGAGGGTCAGATTTGAACCCATGTTATTTCACTCCAGAGTTCATGCTCTTATTCATTATGTTAAACTGCCTCTTTTATGTTTTAAAAATATCATTAGCATGGATGTAATAATGTCTTCCTGAGCTGTGATGACAGAATTGTCGAGTTTTTTGGGGGCAAAGGAGAGAAGTGTGGGTAGAGAGAATTTAGGTACTCAAGTTTATTTTACCATTCTTCTTTAAAGCTGTCCATATAGGCTATAGGTTTTCAATGTATATTTAACAACGAAAAAAATTAAACCACAATGAATAGTTCAAACTGCAGGTGAGTTATAAGCTAAGTTACATAAATAGAACATGGACATAAGGAGTTGTACTGAGACTTACTCAGGAGGTAAGATCTGTTTTCAGTTTTAAAATATAGCACTCATGGAGAGGAAATGAACCTGAGTACACACAGCTTATGGAAAAGAATACTATTAGTATTTTTACTAAGTCTCTGCGTATCCGTGCCTGATTGTATTTGGCTGTGGTTCTTAATGAGATAAACTCCTCTGCAAAGATCTTTTGGTTCAAAAAGTGTGTTTTTGAACTGTGTAAAGACATGTTTACAAAGTCTGAGTGTTCAAAAAAATCTCTGATTTTTTTTTTTTTTCTTTTTCTTTTTTTGGCCGTGCTCTGCGGCATGTGGGATCTTAGTTCCCCTACCAGGGATCGAATCCATGCCCCCTGCAGTGGAAGTGCGGGCCACTGGACTACCAGTCCCCTCTGATGCTTTTCATTGGAAATAATTTTACTTATTTAAAGTAAAATTGGCAAACCATGAAGTTTATGATTAATGGGCCTAATGTATTTGTACAGAACATTCCACAAAATCCTTTCTGTTCTCTCCAAGACGAAAAACAAAACACCCAGCTTCCTTTAAAATAAATAGCCTATAGCAGAATAACTCCTTCCACTAACATAGCATGTTTTAATATTAAAAGTGCTTTAGGCACATCTTATATAATCATCCATACAATCATGTGGGCCCATATATATATTGATTGACACCTGTT